TCAGCGCGGCAGCCATGTAAATTTAAATGAAGCGGCGATTATTTAAATCGCCACTTCATTTTCCTATGTCTGGTAGCCTAATCTACATGCCTCTGTCGCCAGAGGCATGTAGTCTAGACGTACCCTTTGTTTCCTGTCATTTATTCAGTTATCAATCCATGAAAGGACCTTCCCTCTTATTCCATGACAACTTACTTAGCTTTGGCCATATCTATACAAAAAAGTAAAGGCCCTGTTCTCTACAACCTACTGACTAGCTACAACACTTGCCCATATCTCTCCTGCCACTCTCTACCCCTTCAAAAAACCCTCCCATTGGACAATTTTTGCTGATGGCAGGAGGAAGTTCTTAAGAATGATCATCTTCCTAATGAACATAACTTCTAATTTTGGGTCCATTTTCTCAGCCACCTGTCATCTGATAACCTGTTAGATTATCTTCAAACTTGAAGGGGGGGTGGGGAGAGAGGGAGAGATGCCCCAAACTGATAGATATCATGTAGCCACAATTGGAAGACAAGTCGCAGATGCCAGGAATGGTTAAAATGCCCCCACAGTAGGGAAGCTCTCACCTGATGTCAAGTTCGTATACTCTGTCAATGACAATTGCCCTCAGCTCCAATCGTAAGGTTGGAGAGGCAGAAAGACTATGGGACAGGAGTGGCCCTTCATTGCCTTAGATTTAATGGGTTTGCAGTTTGTTGGAGACTGTTGTCAACTGGCACAAATTTAGAACAGCTTTAAAGGTGGGTCTAACCCCTTCCTGGGACAAAGGCAGAAGTGCCATGAGAATAGAGAAGTGGGAGCCATCTGGTGTAATTGTTGAACTGATTTTAGCACAGGGGAGAATCTAGGTTCTTATCAATGCTCCATCTCTCTTAGTAGCCTCAATGATGGAGATGCTAGGGAACAGCATAAGAAAATTGTGGCCAGTGTTCCCTGTAAGCTGTGTGCCACCCCGGGAGAGATTCAGATGCTTCCAGCTGATTAGCAGAACGCCCATAGCTAGGTTTTTGTTTGTACCGGTGGTATACTTTTGCACATGCCTTAGTGCACATAAAAATTATTCTGTACATGGATGGGAAAAGAGTAGGGGGGAACATTGGCTGTGGCCTTATGAAAATTATTCCCAGACCAATTGTCTGGCTTTTGTGCTCAGTACCACAGAGCATATATAGCTTTGGCTTGGGCTCAGTTTGTCTGGTACAAGCTGTAAATGCTTTTCAAGATGAAAACAAATATTTGGTCTTGTCATTACACCTCTGTTTAACGTTTGTCACTACTCAGGCTTAACAGAGAATCTGTGATTCTTTCTGACCTATAGCAAAAGGAAAACTTGACTAAAAACTATAGAGCTGTATTATGTTGCAGAGTTCCCTCCAAAAATGTCGGTTAAGAATGGAATCTTTCCAGGCCTTGAACATACTTTCTGGGAAACAAAAATGTTTACTAAGAATTAATTTGTTGGACAGAATTACAAGGTGAGTAGGAAGTTTTGCTTTGTGAATGAGATTACATAAAGGCAAGTATTCTGAATCATGGTCCAACTTAAATTCCTGTCAATCTAGATGCCTAGTATGGGGAAAATGTTTAAAATCGAGAGAGATTTTTGCACATCCTATTTACAGTGAAGATAATGAAATATTATTCATGAGGTATTGGCTTTTTATAAAATGCTTAGCAATGCCCTTTTCTCATCAAAGATCAAACAAAACTGGCAACCACTTGAAATATCCACACTTTATAAAATATAAACAAAGGAACCAAGATATAGGTGGGTTTTAGTCCACTTTTGAGATGTAGACTTGCAGTACAATATACCCAACAATGCAATTTTTTTTTTATTTTTAAGGCTGGAAAATCCTGTATAGATAGTTCTTAAGCGGCCATCTGGATCTAGTGATCTTTAACCAACCGTCGTCTTTTTTTTTTAATGGTACTCCCATGTCTATCTCTTCCTAAAAGTTGGGTGAGAGCCAACTATCGTTACTCATTTAATCCAAGATGGCTCAGCCCTTAAATTACTTGTTTTTTCTATGTCCGAGACTGCAAATGCTTTTTATTAACAGTGCAGAAGATAAAAGAAAGCTGTGTGTGTTGTTCCTACCTTGAAGATGAAATTATTAAGATGCTGCTATAAAGGAGCTATCTGACTAGATATGCGATCTAGTGCTGCACATTGGTATGATCTTGCATGGTAAATTGGTGCACTAACTTTCCTCCTTTATGCGTTAGGGTTAAAAACAAAAATGAACCACTTGAGTCCCATCTCTGCAGTTGCACAAAACCCTATGGCTGAATTTGTCATATTCATGTCAGCTATGCAACCAGTATTTGCTGGGGCTGTCTGTGCTGAATGCAAGATAAATTCAGGTTACCAAAACAGGAAGGAATATTTGTGGGAATATTTATGAATTCTAAAACACTAACTTACTGTAACTCTTCATTGCTTCAGCTGGGCAGTCCCATAACTGTTGGTATGCCTCATATTTCTGTATTCCTCATCGGCAGATTCAAACCCTACTACCCCCAACCTTCATCTCTCTGTCCAGCCACTCATTCCAATCCATTCTGTCTTCAAAACATCATCTTCTCTTGCTTCTTCACCTACCTTCTCTATCACCATTGGGTACATCTACATGACAGCTCAACTTCTCTCATCTTCCCCAGCATCCTTCCCTTTAAATTTTGGCCTTTTTTATGCTGTCAGTCTTGCCATGCATCAGTTTTACTACAGTGTACAATATGATTACTTCTTTCAGTTCTACTTTTCTATAGTCCTTATGCTGGACTTTGCCACAGGCGACTGCTCTCAACCAGTCTAGCCAAAATGCCTCTGCCAAACCCACAGTCCCCTATTGCCAAACATCCTCTGACTTCCTCCTTGGGACTGCTGCATATGATGTTTTGAGCTTCTTGATTTTACCTATAATGTCCTGACTTCACCCCAGATTCTTTTATCAGAACCAGGGTGGATAAAATCAATGACTTAAAATAAAAATCTGATTTTATTAATCTTTTTTAATCTATACTTTGTTTTTTCAAAAAACAAAAATGCCTGAGAATTCAATGGGGCTTAAAATTAAGTGCACTCTAAGCACAGTCAGTCTTGGCTTTTTTGGTAACTTGATTTAAATCGTGATGTAAATCAATCTACCCGAATACGGAACTTTTGCCTGGTGTTTGGTTTTCTTGCCTGTTACACCACATTCTTTGGAGCAGGAAGTTTGGCTTAATACTCTTATATCACTATGTGAATAAAGCAGAATTTTCCTTTTTAGTACATTCTTATATCTTAAGGATTAAGGAATTATTTTTCTGCTTATTTAGACTCTTGCGGTTAAGAAATCAGTGTTTGAGCAGCTGTACAGGTGCTAAAGTCTGCCTTTACTAAGTTGCCTCTGAAATTTCCCATGCAGTTACTGAACCATATAGTGAAATTTTTGGCTGAATAAAATGCTGCTTGACCTCTGCCTGGCAGTTTGTATTTCAATAGGTATGCAGGGGTTGGTGCGTTAACTAAAACTGGGGGCTTTGTAGAGGAGGGTAAATGATGAGTATAAAACAGACCAGTGAGGTGGCTGCTGTGGATGGGAGGATGGAGGGTTGATGACAAGTTGGGGGTAACACAGTAAGTATTAAAGCTGGAGTGAATGGATATGAAAAGGCTTTGTCATCTTATAGCCTCTTGATGCATCAATTATACCAAAGCTGACTTCCTCATATACACTTACACCCCCTCTTAGACTACAATGAGCACTAAAGTATCAGGAAGGATGGAGGAGGGTTTAAGAATGCAGTATTACAAGGACAGCATAAGATGCAGTCATAAAATATCTAATTAGTGCAAAGAGGTGTTACAGTCCAGACAAACTGTCCTAAGTACCTGTAAATCCATTACTTGTCAGAGACTGCTGCTTGCATTTTGGCTAGGTTCTGCCCATTGCCAATGCTTATGAATGGCTCCGGAAGGGACTATCAACACTCACCTTACAATACTCCTCTGAAGCAGGTGGCATAGGGAAGTGCTGATACACTAACCTTACAAAAGGAGAAACTGGAGAACAGTGCAGTTAAATTTCTTGCAGTGAGAGACCTTAAGACAAGCCAGAGTGTTACGCATTGACTTTGATTGTCTCATTCCATTTGTTTATCCACCAGATAGTACTACCTCGCTAGGATCTGCACATGCACGTTTAGTTGTGCACAAAGGAACAGTGCATTTGCATTTACATACACACATGCAAATGTTAGAGCACGTTTGACAGTCCAGTATACATGTTCAAGTCCACCAGCTTTTTTTTAAAAAAAAGCTACGGAAACAGTGCAAAGAGCTACAGGAATCCAAAATTAAGGATGAGATTTTTACACTTCTCAGAGTGCAGAAATTCAAAGAGATGGGTTCCCAGAGCCACAATACTTGGCCAAAATCTAAAATACGTGAAAGAATTGAAGTTAACCCAACCCACAATGATACAAATAGGTGGAAGGACAGAACTGATGGCTTGGGAGATTGGTGACAGAATACAGAGCACTTTGTCTATGGGTCACTAGCTGCTGTGGGAGCCATAATGTTTTCTAGGCCAAATTCTGTTGTTGCAACACCACCAAGCTACCGACTCCTACTGCAGGTATGCTCCTGCCTCCTCTGCGTGTAAAATTTCAACCTTAAACTTAATTACTTTTTAATAGTTTATTGCAGGTGAGTTTTGCTAAAATAAGACACAGATTCATACTTTTAACATGCTTTACTGTACTTTGATTATAATGTATAGTTTCCAATAAAACAATTAAATAAGCAAAAAAATAAGTTAATTCACAACCACTTAGACAATATTTAACATGGCTTGAATGACTAGCAAGTTACAAGAAGTTCATTTAAGACTTTAAAATAATGTGGTTAAAATATATTCATCCCCTATTTATCAAACACAGCAAGATGCCTAACAACCAACACAAATGCATTTTTGGTTACAGTCCCCTTGCACAAAAGACCAGTGGAATGCTAGGACAATTATTGATTTCACAAGAGCATTAAGCGCGACAGACATACAATATGTGCCCGAAGCTGCCTTGGAAGTAGAAGCTTTTAGTATAAGAATTGATACATCAGCCTACGAATGAAAAGCGACAGCATGCTTGCTAAAGTACATGTATAGTACACTTAGTAGAACCAAGCCACCATGTCACTGAGCCTTCATTTTCAAACAATCAACATGTTTTCAACTCAATATAGTGCAAATCAAATATTCAAGAGCAAAAAGACAGACTCTGCCATTAGACACAGACACTTTTATGGTCTATTGTAATTCTTCCCCACCAACCAGCTGCACTTAGGTTTTGACAATAAAAGGTACACGGCGCAGAGAGCGTAGCGCTATGAGGCAACAGCCACGAAGCAATGCACCGATGTTGTAGATAGGGTCTGTTCCACCTCGCTGAGTACTGAATGCCCACATTACTGTTGGGACAATGGGGGCTGCTACAGCCAAGAAATCTACAAGGAAACTGCTGCTCCAGTACCTTTTCACGAGACCTGCCTGAGAGCGAGTAATGACATTTCTGAAAGTTTCATCATGAGAGGCTGTAAAGTCAAGTTCCTTCATAACACGGTTGTCACTAACGATCCAATCCCCCTTGCTAGCTGGAGACTCCATGGGAGACAAAAGGATGGCAGAGTTTGGATCACTTGCATTTAAGTCCAGTAGCAAAGCAGATTCACTGAAGCACCCAGCAGGAAATCCATCCAATCCCTTTGAGGCAGCAAATGGGCTCACAGGACTGATATGTTGTTTCCTGAATATGTTCTGAATGAGCTGCTCCACATCTGGGCTGTATGGCACCACATCAGTCTGAATGCCCTGTTCCAGCATCGGGCTATTGTCACTCTTCTCTTCTGCCTGCAAGGATGTTAGATCTTCAGCAAAACCCCGTTCAAGTGCATTTTGGTTTAGGGGGGTGGGCTCTACAGTGGAAGTGCAGAGGGATGGATCATCCGATTCAGATGTAGCAGCCAGAATAACATCTTCAAAAAAGTCAGTCCCATTAGTTACCTCATCATTGAGCAGCAGCCTGCTGTCTTCTAGGGCTTGGTCCTCCATACCCCGGCTGTCCACCATTTTGGAATATCTTGTACTTGGGCCGAGGGACTTACCAGGTGACTCACATGTATACTCTAGGCACTGCTCATCCCTCAGAGAGCCGCTCTGAGCCATCTCCATGCTGTGAAGTAAGGACTCCAGTTTCTTGTTTTGGATATTTATGTCTGCAAAGTACTTCTGAATCCCTTTGTCTTTCTCAGCCAAGCTGTTTTTCATGGTTTCAATAACCTGCTTGAGCTGTTTGATCTCCTTTCGTGCCTCTTTCAAGGCCAGCTGTGCTTCCACGCGATGACATTCTTCTTCAATCCAGTCTTCCCTCATGCGTGCCAGCTGCGACTTGAGCTCTTCTATTTCTGTTTCCCTGTAGCAAAAGCAAAACCACTGTAAAACGTCTGGTCTTTGGTCAATGAAAGCATTCAGAAGTTCCATGACAGAGGGATGGTGAGGGTGTAGAGCTGCTGTGAAAAGGTGGGTTGACACGCCTATGCACACAGTACAATTTCACAGTGGTATAACATGAACCCAATGGATGGCAAAGATAAATTGGTCCACTAAGTGAATTCACTGACCTAACCACAGTAAGCTCCAGTAACAGCATGAGAGAGGTGCTCTATGCCACACCTTTGTTTGGTGGAGAGGAATGTGTGTAAAATGCCACTTCATTCAAATCTACCCTCCCCTTTTTGCATAGTTCCAACCCATACATCTCTCAGCTGTTGAGTAATGGAAGCGGCTGCTCTTCTTCTGCAAAGCATCACTACATAGTACTACTGTGAGTAAAACACACAAGTTCGTGACCAGAGGGTTATTGCTGGCAAGAGGGTGGAGCAAGAAGAATTTTTCTGTTACAATGAGGTTTAGAACAAGACAAAATACGTTGCAGCAATTTTTCACACTTGCAGAAATACTGTGGGCATAACTGAAGTAGACAACATACTGAGCCACTTGAAAAGCCAATCCCTGAAAATACATCCACAATTTACAGGCGTCAACAGTTGCATGTGCAAACGTTAAGGGTGCAATATCAGACTGACTTGTAAACAATTAGACTGCCTTCAAAATATCCCTTCTAAGTTCAAAAGAGGAAAGCTGGCTCCTTTCCATAAGTTAGACACACTGTGTGCATTCACAGAATGGGTTATAAAACCTACAATGGCTGTAAACATTTAATTTAATTAGATTCAGCCAAATTCTAAACTTCTTAGTAAAAACTCACTGCACTCAAAAAGGGAGCAAGAATGTCAGGATTTTACTCCTAGTGGAAACTGCTGAATAAATCTTCTTCCCAAACTTTTTTTTCCCCCTGGGAGAAATGTACCTTTCCTGAAGTCTGCTCTCCGATTCCTTCAGTTTTGTTTTTAGATGTCTCACTGTAACTTCTTTCTGCTGCAGTGGGGTCAAATACTGCTCTGGATTTGGTGCTTTAATGCCATGATTCTCCCCACAAGATGTATATCTCACCGATCGTCTGAAACATAAAATAGTGTTATTCCTGCAACAACAAGAAGTCCTGTGGAACCACAAAGACTTAAATTTATTTGGGCATAAATTTTTGTTGGTAAAAACCACTCGTCAGATGTATCTGGTGAATGCAAGAAGTGACCAGCTCAGATGATCCAGAGCAGCCCCGGCTGCAGAGAGGCTGGTGGGCTAGACAGCAGGATCGGGCAGGGAGCTGGATAGCAGACCCTAAGTTAAAGTGGTTAATCAGCTAACAGTTTTAACACCCCCAGATCATGTCCACAGGGCAGTCTACAGAGTTCAAAACAATGACCAGAGTGGTGACTTGAGGGATTTTGGGACATTGCTGGAGGCCACTTACTATGCAATAGACAACTGAAGTGTCCATACTGGCACCGCAGCATGGTAGCCACTGCTCAGAAAGCTCTTTGCCTTCTCATTGAGGTGGTTTACCTACAGTGCACCAACTGAGGAATTAGTGCGCACTAAGTGTCTTGCCAGTGTGGACACCTTGGAAGTTACAGCACTGGGAGCTGATTTACTGCACTGTAACTTGCCACTCTAGACAAGACTTTGGATGTGAAATCTGGCTAATATAGCCCTTAGGGTAAGGGCAGACATATATCTTGTGATGAACAGGTATCGAGCTTCCATGGTGGGAGGACAATGGGATGGACTGTATTCCTTGCTGCTCCTTTACCAACACCACAGTCACTGCCTGTAAGTCTCAGTGGTACTGAGATGCAACATGTTTTGTTCTCCAGCCAGAGGACTGATCCAACAATAGAGAATGGAGAGGAGAAGATAACAGAATTAAAACTGGGATGAAGGAACAAGCACTTGCCTCATAACTGGGCTACTATCACTTCCTTTGTAGGAGCCCGAGTTACTGCTACTAGCAGAAGACACCCCATAATTCTGACTGATATTGACAGGACTCAGCTGATTTCTGCACAATACTGACAAAAGGTCCTTCTCGCGAGAAGTAGGTGGGCTGCCTCCAGGCTTGTATGATGAAGATCCATTATTCCGTCCATGAGGGCCTCGACTAAAGGCAAACCACAATAAGTAAGGCTTGTTGGGTTATACTGAACCATACAATCACAGCATGTCCTTCTATAAGGTCACCCTATGTTGTTTTATAAAATAAATCAAAGCAGGTGGGGAGAAGGAAAGTCTTAGAGTACAGTTACACTGGAGTTGGAGTAAATCCCACCTCAAGGAGACTTATCCTCACTAGTTTTTGTTAAGCTAGCACACTAAAAATAGTAGTGTAGCCAAGGGCTATCAGAAGTAGGTGAGACTAACCTCTCAAGTATGCACCTAGAGTCTCCGAGAGGACTGATTGTACCCGGGGCAGCTAGCTCACCATCTCACTGCAGCCACACTGCTATTTTGAGCACATGTACATATGCCTGAGCTAAAAATTATAGCTCCAGCTGCAGTGCAGCCATGCCTTAGCCTCTCCAAGTACCATGTGTCTTTCATGAACCATGAGGCAGTTACTCACTCAGATGATTTAGAGAAAGCTACAAGATCTTCCTATATTTAGCGTTTTGTTTCTACATTTCCACCATACCCATCTAAGCTAGCAAGCTGCACATTTAAGTTTTCCAGTCTACTCTCAAAGTAATTAGAAGACTACAGTCTAATTCAGTATTTACTAAGAGACTTCTTCAGTCAGGCTTGCAGCAAGACTTCATGATCCTTAGCAAGTAGCCTGAGAGGTCATACTGACCAGTGCAAAGAAGTTTTGCTTGAAGCAATGTCCCTTTCTCCATATGACATAGAGGACTTCAACTGTCACTGCCAACTATATGTTGTACTTTGATATGATCTGAACCTGACAGGGAAAGCTGAAATAGCCCCAAAGCCTCAATAAGTGGAGAACACAGATACTTTCTCCAAGTCATTCTCATACCTGTCTCTTCCCCCGTCTTAAAACGTTCTGAACTACTCCCTATTTGTGCTTGAAAGCAGCGCTGATCGGTGCTGGCCAATACCCAGGCATCTGGTAAGGACATTCTATTCCCCCGTCTTAAAACGTTCTGAACTATTCCCTATTTGTGCTTGAAAGCAGCACTGATCGGTGCTGGCCAATATCCAGGCATCTGGTAAGGACCGGTGACATTCTGGAAACTATTTATAGTGTTATATATTAGTCTGTAAATGCTTTTATCTACTTCCCCAAACTCTCTCCATCACTCTAACACGTGGAAGCTGCTCCTCTAAACTGTAACAAAAAGTGAAAACATACTTCCAAAGAAATGGAAAAAAAAATCCAGCTAGGAAATGAGAAGGTTACAACACATCAAGAAAAATACCATCGAACTCATGAAGCAAAAATCCTTTCCTCAGAAAATTGTCTAACCTAGTTCCCTCCCTCTTCTGAAAATGAACACTTTATAGGGAACAGATGGTTGTGTGGTGGCGCTGCAAGCCAGCATAGCAGTGCTATGGCTTGTGTGTCTTTATAAACAGCTTCAATAAAATGCAAGAGTGTAGTTAAGATGTCACTGAAATGCTGAAATAAATTTGACACAATTAAACCCAACTGCTTCTTTTGAATCAAACAGAATGAAGGA